GTCCGGGGCATCGCGCTGACAGGGCACTCGCCCGGTTCCCGCGGCTCCAGGCGCCGCTCGCGGCCGCCTCCTCAGCCCTCGCGAGGGCCGCCCTTGTTGGGGAAGCCGGCGGCTGCGGGGAGGGCCGCGACTCAGGCTTCTCAGGGGAGAAAAGAGCCTCGAGACGCCTCGCGCTGCGCAGAGCACAGCAAACGCCACCGCCACCTCGATCCGCTTCTCACTCGGAACGGCAACTAACCCTCCGCCCGCGACCCGCCCTCGGATCCGCCTCCCGGCGTTCCGACCCGGCTCCAGACGCAGCGAGCGCCCCGATTGGCCGCGCCACTTTCCTCCAGAATGCCAGGGATTGGTTCTGAAACAGGAGTGAGAGGAGCTCTCGCCAATGACAGTAGTCGATTACGCTTTGGGGCAGGGCTTGAGGGGGTGGCTCAGTGAGGAGGGGTTGTGCGCGCAGGGAGGGGAGTAAGAGTTGACAGCCTTTGAGGTGAGGGCGAGAACAGGAAAGTGGGTCCGTGAGTGCCCTGCGCGTGCTCCGACGCCCGCAGACATGCACACGCCTCGAGAAGCAGGTGGCAAGAGCTCCGCCCCCACAGTCCACAACTTGATACCGAGTCGCTGAAGGCAAAAACTTACGTTGCAAGTACACCTGTATCCGGTGGGATGGTTTAGCGTTACAGCCTAAGAATGGATTCCTACCCCCTATAATTTTACTAATCTTTTAGTGACTTAGTAGCCTTGCTTATCAAAATAACTTCGGGTGATCAGGAGCAGTGTGTGGAAGCCGGATTGAACAAAATGCACCTGCCATTACAGCCTGTCTTAGAAGTGGTAGTTACAGGGTGGTCAAATTCTGTGTTCCAAGATCTCTGAATTGCAGGGGTCAGTGGGAATTTTACGTCATCACATCATCAGCTGTATTAATGGAGGGAACTCAGTTGCCTATCTTGGAGCAGAGGTTCTCTTGGGAGGAATAAATACCAGACATGATGTAAATAATCCATTGTGGTAAATTCGTTTTTTTGTTCCACAAGGAAAATGAGAAATACAGATTTTAGATGAGTATGGGGAAGTATATAAAAATCTTAATCAGGACTAATTAAGAGTTTACATAGGATACCTCCCATTGATTTCCATGAGATTAAAAAAAATGGGATGTCAGATTGGTCGAACCCTAGTGTCTGCCCACACTAAGCTTCCTCTGATTACAGGCACTATGTTTCCTTGTGTGTTCAAACCAGAAAGCACACCACGTTCTATTTTTAAAGCAATCAATGATGTCCAATAAAAGTACAAAAAAATGCATCCAGTACTCTATCCTATTAGATTAGTCATAGTTCCACACTTTATCACATATTAAAATAATATCTGACATTTACTGAACATTCACCTCGTGCCAGCCACAGTTCTAAGAACATTATTATGTGTTAACTCACTCATTCTTCATATAATCCTCAAGGTATGCACTATTATCCCCACTGTTTTCCCAGCTGAGGCATAAAGAAGCTAAAGATCTTGGCTGAGATTACTCAGCTAGTAGGTGGGGAGCTAAGAACTGAGACCAGGAAGCCTTGCTCTGAGAAAGTCCTGGGTTCTAGAGCCTCACAGCATGAAGCTATAGAGATCACGATCAAGAGTACTTATAGAAGACCACAAATATCACCAGTGAAGTGAGTTCCCATGAGTACAAAAGAAATTTTATAAGTGAAACACACTCACTTTTTTGTCTTTCTAGGACAACATATGTTTTAATTATAAATAGGACAAAATAACTCTTCCAAATTTGGTATAATTGACCTATTGTATCACTTTTCCACCGAAAAATTAATCGTTCCATATTAACTAAGAAATTGCATTCTTTCATGACTGAAAACACCAAATGGCTTTTTTGGTGACTTTTTCAGGATAGCAAGACTCAAATATTTGACACATTAAAAATATGAAAAGTCGCTGGGCACAGTGCTGCACACCTTTAATCTCAGAATTCAGGAGGCAGAGGCAGGCATATCTCTATGCGATCTAGGCCACACTGGTCTACATAGTGAGTTTCAGACCAACTGAGGCTACAAAAAGACTCTGTCTCAAAAAGAGTATGATTTTTTTCAACGCTGGCAAATGTCTAAGTTGCTAATTTGATTACAGCATAGTTTCATTATAAAAATGTCATCTCTGGTCACTCCTAATTCCGTATGGAACAATGTCAAAACATTACACTAATTCTAAATTTATACTAAGCCACAGTTACAAGGATCAATACTTGATTTGGATCTAAGACAATATACCTGGCCATATTTTTAGATTTGTTCTAATCTTCTATAATAAACTTAAATCAGGCATCTAAAATCTCAATAACCCAAAGAGAGAATTTGTATTATTTTTCCTTTTTCTGCAGTGTTATTTGGGGGGTGAGTGGCAATGGAGATTGAAACCAGGGCCTTGCATTGGCTAGGCAAGTGCGATGTCACAGAGCTATAATCCCAGGCCCTATATGACTTTACAGTATTACTTTCAGTGACTGGAAACTCATCATGACCAATTTGGAAGTTCAGTGGCTTTATGACCAATTTGGAAGTTCAGTGACTTTCTCTATTAAAGAATACTTAGTTATCTCCAAAACCTTTATTCTCATGGACTAAGTGAGGTCATACCTCAAGGAAGTCAGGCTTTAAAGCAAAGGTGAACTAAAATAAACTCAGTGCCTGCTTTCAAATGTCTGTTGGTTAAATTCTTGAGACTTTATTCTTATTGAAGATAGTAGTGAGTTCCAATAGCATGTAGATGCTTTGGGAAAATATTGTTCGGTGCTGGATAGCTTTAGTGTCAACTTGACACACCTGGGTTGAGGAAGCCTCAATTGGGGAATTTCCCTTATTGGACTGGCCTGTGGCCATGTCTGTGGGGCATCTTCTTGATTTCTGAGTGATGTGGGAGGGCCCAGTGCACTGGGTGGTACCTCCCTGGGCAGGTGGGCCTGTGTTCCATAAGAAAGCAGGCTGAGCAGGGCTCAAGGGAGCAAGCCAGCAAGCGGCATTCCTCCATGGCCTGTGCTCCAACTCCTGCCTCCAGGTTCCTTCCCTGAGTTCCTACCTTGGGCTCCCTGATGAACTGTGACCTGGGAGATGTAAGATAAAATAAACCCTTTCCTCCCCAAGTTGGTATTGGTCAGAGTATTTTGTCACAGCAAGTGCTCAACAAACTAGAACATCTTCTTAGGAAATTGGAAACCTCGTAGCCATGGTGTGTGGACTCTTGGGCTTGAAATCTGTTGTTAATGCCACCACACTAGCTGTTGGATAAACAGGACCAGTGCAATTTCATTATTTGTTGAGTGCTAGTGTGATAAACTCTGAAATTTTTATATAAGGCTTAATATTAGTCATGACCTCTTTTCTATATATTGCCCTGTCTAGAAGGAATGAAAGTACAAGTTGGTATAACAGGAACAACTCTATTGTCTTAGTCGGTAAAGGCTATGTTCACCAAACCTGACAACCTGAGTTTTATCCCTAGGACCCATACGGTGGAGAGAACCCACTCCCACAGGTTTTCTTCTGACCTCCATACCCACACCATGGCACACGCATCCCGTCCAAATTAACAAATGTAAAAAATAATTAAGAAATGAAACACTTCTGTTCTCAAGCCTCACACGCTGCATGTCTGTGCAACAAGAACTCCCCTCTGAGGATCATACTATGGGTGAATAAAGTCAAGGATCACTGAGTATGATGAAAAATATGCTGTCCTTTATAGAGAGAGAACAGGATAAAGAATTGTGAAGCCTACAGAGCTACCAAAACCTTCCCCATGATTCTGTCAGTGTTTTGCAAACTGTATATCTTCTATAGTTTGAATATGGCTTGTCCCCTAGAACTCATACTGAGCTCTCTCCCCACTTTGAGGTATTATTAGTGTGGAAATTTGGACTAGTGATATGGCTCAGTGGATAAGAGAGCTTGTACCTCAAGTCTGAGGGCCTAAGCTCAATTCCAGGAACCCAAATTGTGGAAGGACAGAACCAATTTCTGAAAATTGTCTTCTGACATGCTGTGGCACACATGCAGACACACACACACACACACACACACACACACACACACACACACAATTAAACACATAAAAAGAATGATCCCATTTACCCTGCCTACATAGTCAGAAACCACCCATTCCATTGCCTTCTCCTACTCCAGGACTAGGCTGGGAAATGCTGCTGAAGAGCTCTGACTAGCCTGAAAAGTATTCCTCTTACCACTCATCAAAGAAGCTTCTTTTGCTACAGATGGAGACTGTTAGG